GTAAAATATAATGTATATGGTGTTTTTAAAATTCCTTCATATTATAATCAACCATGGGTAAAATACAATGTATACGGTGTTTTTAAAAATCCCTTCATTTTATAATCAACCATGTGTAAAATATAATGTATATGGTGTTTTTAAAATTCTATCATTTGATAATCAACCATGGGTAAAATACATCGTATGTTTAAAATTGTCATACTTTTAAATAGGTACCAGTGGGAGATCAACCAGAAGACATAGAAATACAGATTAGAGAACTTGTCCTCAAGCACATTAGTAATCCCAACTCTATCATTCTGGCTGTGTCTGCTGCTAACACCGACTTCGCCACGTCTGAGGCTGTAAAACTGGCTCGAGAAGTGGATCCTGATGGTATGTCTACCTAGCATTTTCTAAAAGATGATTTCTTTATGATAAACACAGAAAATAACCTGCCACTTACAAAGATGCATGGCTGTGTCTAAACAAGTTTTAATTCTTCTGATAATTTATTCCATTTTTGTGGGTTTTTTTACTAACTTTTTAATGTCTACACACTATATTGCATTTTTATTATTATTATGATTTGCTTACTCTTGATGCCAGAGTTAAATGTAGTTTTGATTGAAGTTTGTTTAAAAAATGTGTGAGTACATTTTAATTAAATAGAAGATCATGAGAAAATGTATTCCAGTTTCTCTATGTATGATGTAATAAATACACTTTTATTTTAAAAAATGATTCAGTTTTGGTACAAGATCTGGTTTTATACAGGCAGATGACTAGTATGTGTGGCCACTAATATAACACATGTTATTCACATTTATATAAGTATAAGTAGCTTTAAGTATTAAAGGAATTCTGTCTTGAATCAGGACGACGTACCTTAGCAGTCATTACAAAACTAGATTTGATGGATGCTGGCACTGATGCTATTGATGTTTTGTGTGGTCGAGTGATTCCAGTTAAACTGGGAATAGTTGGTGTGGTCAATAGATCTCAGCAAGATATTCTTAACAAAAAGGTGAGTTGAGCACGTACGCTCTAAGAAATACTTTTTGAATCATATAATAAAAATTCAATTTATTGACAAGAAGGTTTATCACGATATGTATTAATTATTAAGTGTTTTATATAGGTTTAATATTTCTAAATAAGCCTGTTGCGTTGTGTTACTTGGCCACATCTGACATTGATATTGTTACACAGCTTGATGTCTTTTTAATACCAGGATGTTTTTTAGGTTGATAGACAATGAACGAGTGAAAACAGAATTGTGTGTTTTTCATATATAAAGTTGTTTTTATTATATTTATAAGTGATTGTAAAATATCCAGGTTTAAAAAATCATTAGTAATAAAACAAAAAGTGGTGCATGGAGAAAATTTGAAACAGATTAAAGTCAAGATTCTATAGATTTGTAGTATAGCTTTAACCAAGAATAGATATAGAAATTAAGTGTATTCACATAGTGATCTAAAAAATGATAGCATTTTCAGAAAGTCAATCTGTTTTGTTTTTTCTTGTTCTCATAATGACATTAAGTAAATTCTAAATCTGTTCTATAGTTGTTTATCAATTTTTCTATCCATGGTGATTTCTGCCAACTTAGAAATATAAGTTATCTAACTTCCCATACATAGGTGTATTTGCCTTGGTTATCTATATGATGCTTGACAGGGGAATCCCCAATTTTTCTATTGATTACATATTGTGTGTATCACATGTTGAAATCATGTAACCACATATCTTTAGCATGATAACATTCTTTTTAGAAAGTTTTGGGATAAAGCTAGGACTTTTTTTCTATGCTTTCACTTGTACAAAACAGATCTAGAGCTGTAATGGAACAGAATGTATCAGAACTAAATTGACAATGTTTCATGTTTTGATGGTAGTGAGTCACCAAAAATTAATTGATTTTGATAAGGTATGTAACATTCCTTTTTGACACTCAGATCATAAAGATGTGTTAAAACCATACTTGTAGCTAGTTACCCAAGTATTCTTGTATTTTATCAATAGGTGGATGGTCACAATGTTTATAGTTCCTTTATCAGTTGGATGTACTCAACACTTGTAGCTAGTTACCCAAGTATTCTTGTATTTTATCAATAGGTGGATGGTCACAATGTTTATAGTTCCTTTATCAGTTGGATGTACTCAACACTTGTAGCTAGTTACCCAAGTATTCTTGTATTTTATCAATAGGTGGATGGTCACAATGTTTATAGTTCCTTTATCAGTTGGATGTACTCAACACTTGTAAATGTTAACTCTTCCTTTATGAGTT